CAAATCACTCAGTTTTTTTATGGAATGAAGCTAGAACTGTCAGCTGTCAAATGACATAACAATAACATAGATGCAAATGACTCTAGTACTTCCAAAAATGAATTAGCGCCATCTGTTGCAAACATGCATCATGACTTTTCTGACAACCCAATATGTACTCTTGAGTCTGGCTTCTTTCATTATCATTTTGTCTGTGACATTCATCCATTTTGTTGCATGTAGTTTATTCTTATTTTTATAGCTTATTTAAATAAGGGCAGGTGGATGGAGCTAGCAATGATGGGGAAAAATGAATATCTTAGTTTTCACTGCTAAAATAATCTTTAATGTGAACACAATCAGCAAGTATTTGGTCACTGTCCTTTTGTGCCCATTATTGTTAATAGCATAGTGTGAGGGATGTACAATGAGAATTTTGAGTGGTTTCTGCTGTTTATTTAGTCCTGTGATGTAAGACTCACTTTGGCCCTGACCTCGGTCAACTGTGCCCTACTTTCCCATTATCATTCTAATAGCCCTGCTTCAATATCTCCTGACCTTTTTCATTTATCAGAAAGTTTTGCGTATCTTCTCTGTGTTAGGCACTGGGGAAGAGATTTTTAAAAGATGATTTCTATAGGGAAGGAGTTCCCTGTCTAGTAGAGGAGATTGACTTTTAAACAAATGAAGAGGAATGTAGTGTGATTGTCAGTAGTGGAGAATGTATAAATTATGGTGGTGACAAAAAGGAAAAGTGCTCATATAGGTCTGGGAAGCTCCAGGGAGGCAGTGCACAAGCTGTGTCTGAGGATGACTATATTTGCCCTGATCTATGAGATCAGACAATTAAGTTTACAAACTCATCCTAGAAAAAGTGCTACATACCTCATGGCCGAATATCACTATGGTCACCTTCGAAGAACTCCCCTTGGGAAGCTATACACTGACACCAGTGCCTAGTCCACCCTTCACAGCAATATTGGAACTCTTTTTCTGGAATGGCCATCAGAGCTGTCGTCGTATTACCCTTGATGTCCTGAATGTCATCAAAATGTCTTCCTTTCAGTATTTCCTTTATCTTTGAGTAAAGAAAGAAGTCATTGGAGGCCAGATCAGGTGAGTAGGGAGGGTGTTCCAATACAGTTATTTGTTTACTGGCTAAAAACTCCCTCACAGACAATGTCATGTGAGCTGGTGCATTGTCGTGATGTAAGAGCCATGAATAGTTGGCGAAAAGTTCAGGTCATCTAATGTTTTCACACAGCCTTTTCAGCGCTTCCAAATAGTAAACTTGGTTGACTGTCCAGTTGGTACAAATTCATAATGAATAATCCCTCTGATATCAAAAAAGGTTAGCAACATCATTGCAACAAGTTCGTGAACTTAATTGTCAGGCCTTGTATATTATTAATTCCTCTCTTTGAATTCTCATAGTACTTTATCTGTATCTCTTTTATAAAAGATACCACTATTACTCTGTGTCATGTTATTCTTTTACATCTCTAATTCCCTCTACTATGCCAGACAATAAGCTACTTAAGGAAACATGTTAAGGAAGTACAGTCATAATTTCATACACACAGTCTCCTTTAATCCTATAAAATAGTTTAAAGTTGTACTTCATACTTTGACGTTGTTCATCCTCTCTGGTTTCCTCCTCTGCGCGCTCTTGGAGTGTCCCAAGGCTCAGCCCTTGACCTTCTTTTCTCTTTTCTTTCTTCCCTGGTCACCTTATCTAATATTTTCAAACCACACACGTCATTTTCTATCATTTTGACCTATTTTGTTATCTTTATAGTGTTTATTACTATCTGAAATTATTTAATTTCCTTCCTTGTTTTCTTGTTTATTATAAATCTCTCTCAGTAGAAATGTAAGTTCCAGGAGAATACGGTTTATTACTGTATTGCCGGCATCTAAAATAGTGTGTGCTCCATAAATATTCTTCAAAAAGGGAGCGGAATTATTCCCATTGTAAAAATAAAGAAATTACAGAGAGGACTATCAAGTATATTCTGTCAGTTCGACCTCCATCCCTCCCAATATATTTCCCTTTATTCAGCTCTCACGTCATATCAGGCCTTATGCTTCTCACCAGAGTTACAAAGGTAAGTCATCCTAGTCCTTGAGCATTTCACAGACTAATTAAAAACTTGCAGGGTTCATTTCTTGTTCCTCCACAATACCTAACACCTAACATAGCAAATTGTATAGTAGGTACGCAATGTGAGTTGAATGGCTAGTACTAAGGAGCTTTAGAATGTAAGGGCCTCTTTTGACTCTTAATGAGAAAGGCCTTGAACAAGTATTTCACATCGTAGGAAATATAAACCGTAAAAAGTACAAATTTAGAACAATAATCAGATACCATTAATTTAACTAACAAAAAGTTAAACAAGACCACGTAGTGCAGACCTGTGAAATTATCAGTTGTTGTTGCCAGATTTTTCAAAAGCAGCTTGGTTATGTACAGAAAGTGCCATAAAGGTATTTATATCCTTTCATCTAGCAATGGCAATCATGTGAATGTATTCAGCAAATTATTTTAAAATAGAGAAACTATACACATTTTTACAAATCGACAGCATTGTTATTTATACAAGCAAACCATAAGTAAATTAATCTAGAATTCCATAGACTCTCAAATAGTCATTAAAATAATAAATATTAAAACTACAATAATATGAACTTTTTGTGAAATATTGCTAGGTTTAAAAAAGATAGAAAGAAAAGATGAATGTTATATAATGGTTATAAATTATGTGTTCAAACGCTCCTTATAGAAAAGCAGAAAGTCAGGATGCTAGATCTACGCTGGCAGATTTCGGGAGGGACACTGACTGGACTGGCTGGATCGGCCCACTGACCAGACAGCCAACCCTCTAGTGATTGAGAGAGAGAGAGCATACTGGGGCAGAGGGACAAGGAGTACCTTCCAGGGACTAGGGGAAAAGACAGAATCCAGGTATGTCACCTGGAGGGGAAGTGTTGTGTCAGACAATAACAGTAGCATCTGAACTGATCTCCCTGTATCCACTTTTCCTTTCAGGATGCTTTTGAGAAAAGGGAAACATCTTTACTCTCAGGATAATACTTATAAATTAGTACTCCATGACGGAGAACATTGGAGTGTTGTCTTTCTTTATAGCCTGGCTTCTGCCACCATCTGATACTTAATTTTCTAACTTGAAATTTAAAGAAACTCAATGTTTTTGGATGGAACATCTCTTGGAGTGTGTGATAAGATACTGTGGCCTTTTCCCCTCCGCCCCTCCAAATCGACCTATGCACATATAAAAATTTGCATATAATTTCAAGGGTCCCCACTGCAAACCTATCTGTAGATCTCCCTAAGAGATCATGGACTCCAATTAAGGCTCCTGACAAATTTATCCCCAAGGTCCTTCCTCTAACGTGTTAGCTCCAAGGAGGGAAAGCATGCTTTTTTCACTGCTGCATCTCAACATGTAGTATAGCACCTCACACATAGAAGTTACACAATATTTGTTAAATGAATTAGTGATTAATATGTGCTGTCCTTATTTGATTTTATTTCAGGTCATAATAATAATGCCTTTCTTTGACTGCTATGAGCCCATGGTGAGAATGGCTGGAGGAACACCTGTTTTTATTTCTCTAAGATCTGTAAGTATACCAATACGATTCACATGCTTTAAGAAGTTTTGAAAATACCAATTACTTTATCGCCAATAAAGTGTCTACTTGGATTACATTTTGGTATTTACTATATATCTCTACTATGACTGCAGTTAATCAACAACTTTAAGAGGGGAAAATTTAATAATTGATCCTGTGGTTGCCATGTGTCCGTGTGGTATCAGCATCTACATTGTATGTAATGCTATTTTTTGTGGCCATGTGTCCCCCCCCATTGACGAGCAACACCTGGTCAGAGACCATTTCTGACTCACTGTTTATAGCACTGCTCCCCAGTGACTTAACAATGCAGAGTACATATTGGGTGCTCAATAAATGCTTGTTGAATTCCAAAAGAAGTGATTTTTCTTTTTATTCTATCCTGCTATTATCTTTTAGAATATGATCAAGTATAGTAGCTTTGTCTTTTTAAAAATCTTATCAAATAAGTGACATACTCCGGTGAATTACAGAAGCTTCTACTATCAGACTTGTTAACTGTAGCTCTAGCTGGCTCCTTTGAAGGAATATAGGCACTTTAATAGCTGTTAACGTTGACAGAGTCCATTTTTCCACTTAACAGGTGTGAGCATGAGACTCACATCCTCTTGGGCTCTTAAGGTAGAACTAAACCTTACTTGTTTCTGTTTATTTTCTGTGTTAGTCATTTTTTTCAGTTACATTTGCCATGCCTTTCTCTAATTTTTTTCTTTATTATGTTTATTTGTAAGCCAGCAAATGAATTAATTGAATTAAATCACATCTTCATTCTTCATGCTTAGAAACCTGTCGATGGGAAAAAATGGTCTAGTTCTGACTGGACATTGGATCCTGAAGAACTGGCAAGTAAATTTAATTCCAAAACCAAAGCTATAATACTGAATACACCACATAATCCCATGGGGAAGGTAAGTGAGTCTTTGATCTCTTTATACAGTCTTCTGATCTATCATTTTCTCACACGTTGAATAATAATTGGCTCTGCTCTTTTGTATCCTTTAATATGTATAGGTGTACACCAAAGAGGAACTCCAAGTAATTGCTGACCTTTGCATCAAGTATGACACACTTTGCCTCAGTGATGAGGTTTACGAATGGCTTGTATATACTGGAAACAAGCATTTAAAAATAGGTACTGATTATTACATAGAGTCACAAATCTAAATGTGTTTGGGTATGTGTGGAACAACTGATTGGAAAGGATCCCAGAACAGCTTTACAATAGTCTTTATAATGGGTCTGTCTGTGTGAGTACTTAAGGGATTTCAGTGAATGGTGCTTGAGTGAATTGATGAACAGCTTGAAGGACAAACAGTACAAACTCAGGGGAAGACATTTTGTATCACACTAGATAGCTACGAAACCAGAGAAGTAGTACTTTTGCCTATATCCTTGGTCTTCCATTAAGAATCCAGCTATACTTGGTACATAAGACACAAGGAGCTTACTTGTTCCCAAACTGGACTGTCTCTGCTAAGCAAGTTGCCAAAATGCCAGGTCAGCAGGAAAAGATTACAGGGACACTAAGCTATTGGCTGCTTGGCCCATGCCTGGAATTTCACCACTAGCACTGGGCCACCTCACAAAGACCCTGGTGTCTTCTGGGGTAACCCAAACTTATATCAACTATAGGATTATAAGCTAGGCTGCAACCCCTACGTCTTTGCACTTGTCCATCCAATGCCTGAAAACACTTTTGCCCCAGATATCCACATGGATAATCTGGAAACAAGTGGATTATAGGACCAATGGTCAGGATCAAATTATGAGGGGATACATTTTTGGCAGTCATCAAAATTTTGTTGACAGTGGAACCCATAGAAGAGAATGAATTTTCTCAAGGAGAATATATGAACAGAGAAGAAGGCCAGAGGTTTGAAAGATGTGGTGCCTTAACACAGCAAACTGTGGGTCTATGTCAAAAATTGCATCAGAGTTCACTTGACTTCACCCGTTTTATTGATGACCTTTGTCTTGGATCATCTGAACTGTTCCCCAGTAGAAAATCAGGAAAATATGGACAATTAATTTTTTTGGTAGCTGTTTTTAGATTAAATTTTATTAAATTATTATTTAATTATTTTATCTAAAATTATTTGATATAAAATGTGTTTCACTCATTTAAAATACTTAATTATTTTAAATATTTACTTAAAATAAAATAATGAGATTTAATTAAATTATTTTGTTAAGTTTATTAAAAATTTTTAGATTAAGCAGAGAGGAAGAGGCAGCTACCTAATGAATAAATATAATTTTATATTCAACATAAAACATATGTTCATGTCTATGTGAGAATGACTCAAAGCCTTAGTTTTAGTTAACACAGTTTAGCCATATTCTTTCTAAAAGATTACTTTAAATGGCCTTGAAATTATTTGTAAGCTTGTATTGTATTTAAACCTTATGTTACATTATAGACCTTTCATGGTAAAAGTGTTATTTTTAATTAATAATATTATTTGCTAGAGATACCAAAATACTTATTTTTAACTTAGATTTTTTAGTGGCTATAACAGCCCATAAAGTTAAAACAAAAAAAATGAACTCACTATTTCATTATTTAGAGAGTGCAATTCGATTGCATGAAAACTTAGTCTATCAAATACAGTGGCCTTTGTCACATGAAAGATGCAAAATGGCTATTCCATCAATTTGCAGAGTGCAGTAGTAGTTCTTTAATATAATACAATCAGGCTTTCTAGCCACACATGAAATTAGCATCATCTTCATGTTGTCACAGAGGCAGTTTTCCCTGATGTAGGGCTGTTCATCGTGTTTCTATCTTTATCTGACTTCTATTGAAGTTTAAATTGCCGATGAATAACTGTTAAAGCTGCTGTGGCTGATTGAAGGATCCTGGGTCATAAATGAGAAGTGTAAAGACCAATTGCCTTTCAGATAAAACTGCAAGCTAAACTTACTGATACTAGATATGTTTTTTTTTTTATATCATCAAACCTGCATTTTTATTTTTTATTTTTTTATTTTTTTTGCCTCTACATTGCTAGTCACACTCAGTTTTGTGGTCATCTGTTCTGTCTATCTGCCTACATTAACACCTGGGTCTCCCCAAATTTCTGAGACTGAGAGGATATGAACATTAGATATTTTTAAATTACCTAGGGCCCTTTTTATTGAAATAGTAGAATTTGTCCTTATTAGATCAGTTTCTTTTTTTTTTTTTTTTTAGATCAGTTTCTTGATTCAAATAATATCTCTGGGTTTCAGTAAAATGACAAAAAGAAACCACTTGTTTAGAAGAGCTATATTAATACACTGATATTATATTTATATACTAATCCATTGATATTTGGAAAATTACTATAAAATTCTTTGTAAGCTATTTAGCTGATCAACTTACTCCTTAAAAAAAAATCCACTTTTATATAGCTACCAACAAATTAGCTCTCCTTTTGAACATTATAATTAGAATTTATACTTTGTGAACAAAACCTACATTTGACATGTGAGTATTTTTTAATTTCATTCATATGTAACTTATAGTGAAAATATGCTAGGATTGTATTACTTTCTCTGGGTATTTCTTATTTTCAAAAACTTTATTTCTAAATATTGTTCTTACTGATAAGCCTTCCTGATTTTGGATGTATACTATTACTTTACAGGAAGTGATGCTCTGCATTGTACATAGTTTAGATTTTCTCTGGTCAAATAGGAGAGTGGTACATGTGTTATGGTGTGCTTCTGAAATATTTTGGAAGACTAGGAAAATATCAAAACTTGAAGTGATAAAATTATTTATATCAAATATTAGAATATTCCTTCTTTGATATTTGTTATACTCCACAGAGAATACAATTATAACTTTTATGATTTATATAGTTGTCCTATCTTTACAAATATTGGTAGGTATTTCATGATAGACTGAAATTATGTATGCACCCATTTTAGAAATTTCTTTAGCTACCTTACATTTTAGTAGGCATTTTACATGCCTTATAAGAAGATTACTTTAAGAAAACGACTTAACCCCCCTAGAAATGGGTATTTACTTTCCCTTTGTGTGTGATTATGGCGCAATTCTGGATATACTACAAACCACTGAATTATACACTTTTATGAGTGAATTATATGGTGTGAGATTTATAGTTCAATAAAGTTGTTAGCAAAATACACATACTTGTATGCACACATGCACGTACACACACATGCACACAGATTGCTGGGCCCCACACTTAGAGATTCTGGTTTAGTAGGCCTATGATGCATTCCAAGAATTTACCTTTTGTACAAGTTTCCCAGTGATATTGATATTGCTGCTGTGTACAGGACTATATTTTAAGAATCATTGACCTAGGGATCATGGAGAAAGAGACTCAGAAAATGGGCCCAGTAGAGGTGAGGTAAACAAAGCCAGGACCACAGCCAACACCGTGCCACAGAGTGATTACACTGAACACACAGCTACGAACACGGAGCAGTGGGTGCACAGTTTGTGTGACTGCCTCACTGAACCAGCCCTGAACACTACCTACTGGCACCTCTGTCGCTCCCGCCCCTGGAAATAATTTTGCTACTTAAAATTATTTAATCTATTAAGTGTTACTTAGGTGCCCTATTACAGTGTTTTCAAGCACTGTAACATTTTCAGCTATGCTTGGGTTAAAGTTAACATTATCTTTAAAACACCTATTGAAATAATTAAACTGAGCACACTATGATACATTTATGTTTTTAGGTTATACCAAATGTAGATTGATTGAAAAGCACTTATTTTACCTTTTTGTTTTTCATTTTCTTGTTCAGCCACTTTTCCAGGCATGTGGGAGAGAACAATCACTATAGGAAGTGCTGGAAAAACTTTCAGTATAACTGGCTGGAAGGTAAGATGAATTTAATTGCTTGAAAACAGGCATGTGCTTTACTCCCTGAAGGGTATTTTTGTGTGTTTTAAATATATCTCTGTTCAGTTTACATAGGATTTTATACTTACTGACCTTTTGCTTATTATTTACTCATTCAGTTTTCCTGTTGGCCTTTATTCTTTTTGAGACTTAATCATTTCTTTAAAAAAAAAATAAGGTAATTTTTCATTTTATACATAACCAACTAATGACACTTCTTTCTTTGCAAAGAATGTTCAGATTACAGCATATTATATAAAAGGAGAAAAATAATAATAGCTGATATTTTGGCCCTGGTGTGCCAGGCTCTTAGGGCTTTATATGTACTGATTCTTTTAATTCCCATCACCACATTATGAGGGGTATAATTTATTATCCTCACTTTACAGACAATGAAACTAACATAGAGAAGTTAAGGGACTTGCTGGAGGTTACACTGCTAATAAATTCAAACCAGGGCAGGCAATCTAGCTTCCAAATCCACACACTCAAACCACGAAACTGTGTGTAACACGATAACAATTTATCCAGTTGAAACTTGTTTATCTTCCAACCTCACCTCTCCTAACCATGGCTAAGAAGCAGAGAGTATCAAAAACTGAGGCCTGCAGAAGCAAATTATGAAAGAGTCCCATAGACCCTCATTCAGAGTCACTTTTATCTACATCTAATTCAAATGAGCTTTGGTCCTGTGTTTTAGACCTCCGGGATATCAGAAGTGGCAAACCAGTAGAGAGGAGAAGGATAATGGTGACTGCAGGCACTGTTTACCTTCTAAGGGCAGAATGCAGTAACTCCATTTGGAAACTTTTCCACAGAAAGAAATGTTGAAATGATTCTAACTAATACTGCACTACTTTCATAGTGTGAACATTTTAGAATTGCATATATTTAATGATTGCATTAAGCGTCTCTATGAGATTTGGTACGTACGATTAGGTTCATATCTTGAGCTCTACTTTTATCTTTTCCTTTTCCAGCTTGGCTGGTCCATTGGTCCTAATCACTTGATAAAACATTTACAGACAGTTCAACAAAACAGCATTTATACTTGTGCAACTCCTTTACAGGTAGGTTTTATAGTAATTTGGGGTTGAGACATGGTCTTTTGGTGAAGGTGTTACCTTTATGTTGTGTGTTTGAATTGGCTTAGCTCTTCCTTTCATGTCCTTTTTGAGCAGGGCTTCTAGTATAATTTGAGAATTATACTAGAATCTAGTATAATTTGAGAATATATAAGAAGCTCTCTCTGTATATGGCCATTTATTGCAGAAAATAGGGGATTGTTGTTATCCACCTAGAGACAATTGGTTAAAATAAACCATGGTCTGGTCTATCTAAACATTTAAATATTATATGACTGTGTTGGTTTCCTATTTCTCTGTAACAAATTACCACAAACTTAGTGGCTTAAAACAAAACAATTTTTTTTAATCTTACAGTTCTGGAGGTCAGCAGTCAAAATGAGTCTTGCAGGGCTAAAAGCAAGGTGTCTGCATTGCTCTATTCTTCTGCAGGCTCTAAGGGAGAGTCCATTCCTTGTCTTTTCCAGCTTCTAGGGGCTGCTCGCATCCTTGGTTTATGGTCACATCACTTCTGTGACTCTAACTCTCCTGCGGCCTTCCACCTTTTTCCCTTATAAGGATCCTGGTGATTGCATTAGGCCCCACATAATCCAAAATAATCTCTCAGTCTCAAGATCCTTAACTTAAATCACATTTGCAAAGTTCATTTTACCAGGCAAGGTAACATATTTACAGGTTCTGGGTTTTAAGACATAGGCATCTTTAGGGGCCAATATTCTAATACCCTGGCTGTTTAAAATTAAAAGAAAAGAAAAGGAAAGGGAAAAGGAAAGAGTGAGGAAGCTCTATAATTACTGATGGAAAGATTTCCAGAATATATTGTAAAGTAAAAACAAGATACAAAGCAGTGTATATTTATATTTTGTATAAGAAAGGAACTGTTTCCTTGTCTTTTCTTAAAGGATCTCTGAAAGATCCATAATGAAACTAGTAAAAGTGGCTATTTGTAGTGGTAAGGAGAATAGGTGAAATTAGTAGTTAGGGACAGGAATAGATGTAAGGCTTTTTAATGTATATCTTTTTTATATTGTTTCTATTTTTTTAATGTTTATAAAACAGGGATCTACATACAATCATTCTGCAAATAATCAGAACACTGAAAAAAAATATATTTTTCTGAAAGGCAGTTAAAAAGCCAAAAGAGTGAAATATGTTGGCTACCGTAAACTTTTTTTTTTTTTACTTCCTGTCAAAAATACCTACTGAATGAGAAAAAAATCTATTTTACATTTCTTTTTCCAGTGACTCTAATATCATAATAAAGGCAAGTTCTAACATTGGTTTTATTATATATTAAACTCATTTTATCCTCTAAAAAAAATCCACTATTTAACAAATATTTACTGAGTATTTTAGATACAGCAGCAAAAATTCCTGCCCTCATGGAGATTATAGCCTAGTGGAGGGACACAGATAATAAATAAATATTTTAACAATATAATATGTCAGAAGTTGATAGATGCAATGGAGAAAAATAAAGTAATGAAGAGGAAAAATATAAAGTGTGAAGGGGGAGGATATACAATGTTAAGTGGAATCATCTTTGAAATCCTTACCAAGAAGGGGCCATTTGAGCTATGAACTGAAGGAGGTTAAGCAGTCACATGCTTATCTAGAGAAGAAACCTCCTGAAAGTACAAGTGCAAAGGCCCTGGGGTAGGCAGCCTGGTTATCATGTTTATATCAGTGAAGAGTACAGAGGCTGGGATAGGATGATTAGGGGAGAAGAGTAGGAGGAAAAAAATTAGAAAGATAGCTGGGAGCCAGATCAAGTAGGAGCATGTTTGTCACTGTGGAGACGGAGTGAGATAGGAAGCCACTGGAGAGTTTTTGAGCACAGGAGTGACATGATCTAACTTGTGTTATCAAAGGGAGTCTGGCTGCTTAGTTGAGTTAGAAGTTGAAGTGATCAAGGAGAGAGACAGCAGTGAACTGAACCAATATGGAGATGAGACAAGTGGTGAAAAATGATTGGGTTCTGAATATATTTTGAAGGTAGAGCTGACAGTATTTGCCAGTGGATCACATGTGGGGTATGAGAAAGAGAGGAGTCAGGTACAATTTTACAGTTAGGACAATGTTTCTGTCTCCTGGGATTTGGATTTTCTAGCATAATGTCTCCTACTGTTGGGAATGAATAAGTTGCTGAGAAAAAGAAAGTTTCAGCTAAGAATCTGGAATATCTTTTTCGAACCATCTTATTCTCCATTTCTGCTAAGCAGCCTGTTTTTTGTTGTTGTTTTTTTCCATGCCCTCAGACAACCATGTTTTGAAATTGGCCCAAGTTTCCAGGGGAACCACAGATTCCTAGGCTGAAGCAACCAATCCTTATTTATCCAAGATTTCTTTAGTACTAGAGAGTTATTGATATTAATTTTTTTTCCTGCTGAATGCTTTTAGCATGCAGTCTTCTCCATCACTGCAACCTTCTCTGTCTCAGTGTCATCTCTTGCCATGCTATCTCTCTTGCTAGCTACAGCCACACTAGGCTTCTCTCAGTTCTTCCAAAAGAACAGTATATCCTGCTTGTTCATGTAAATGTTTTCTGTTTGATCCCTCTGCCCTGCCCTTACCAATGCACAATAATTGGAAGGCTCACAAAGGCAAGGACCATGTTTATCTTGTTTATCATGATAGTCCCAGCATTTATCACAATGCTTGTTTTAATATAGGGACTCAATTTATTTACTAAGTAATTGAATTTATCCTTTAGTTCTTGATATCTTTTGGCTGTGATTAATTTCCCTAAAATTTGGCCACTTTGCTCTGCCCCTGTATTTCTTAACTATTTGAAGTTCTCGATTTTTTGCTTGGATCTCCTGGTTTACTCTGAGAACCAATATTTCTAAGTTGTCCCAGTTCACACTTGCCTACCCAGCTTCCAAAGACCCGTGTTCATTATGTATGCCCTGATTCAGATTTGTTTACCTGTTCCTGACCTATTGCCCTCTCAGACAGCTGCCTAATAAATAACATTGGCTTTTCTCTGAGCCCAGTTACACTCCTGTGTCTTCTTACTTTCCTAAAGAAGAGTAGAGAAGTCACTCCACATAACCCAAAAACTTCTTTCTAATCCCTGTGGCATTTAGACCACCTTCCTGGGATATGAATAATTAGAACAGGGATTTGCATACCCATGGGGCACGACACAGTAGGTCACCTTTCATTTCTACTGCATCCTCCAAGGTAATGGGGAAAGGCTGACTCATCGTTTTTCTGGTCATCTTTCAGATTTATATCTAGCAAGTCATCCTACAGTTCACCTCAATAGAAAACAACTTACTGTCTTTTAATTCCCAAGTATGCCATCTTTATATAATACCTCTTTTTCAATCTGGGTTTTCATAGCTCATTCTCAGTTCTTCACATTAGATTTAGTAATTTCGTTGTGACTGATTCCTCCATTAATCTATAGAGTTTAACATAGGTTCACAGGAATTCAACTGTAATTCTCTGAATGACTTTTTAGCCCATAATATTACTCAGACAATCGTTATTTATTATACCAATAAACTCAGCAATAAATAACATTACCATATTTCCTTCGTACATTTTTCAATGTTGACATACAGGAAGCCTTGGCTCAAGCTTTTTGGATTGACATCAAGCGCATGGATGACCCAGAGTGTTACTTTAATTCCTTGCCAAAAGAGTTAGAAGTAAAAAGAGATCGGATGGTACATTTACTTGAAAGTGTTGGCCTAAAACCCATAATTCCTGATGGGGGATACTTCATCATTGCTGATGTATCTTTGCTAGGTTTGTAAGAGTTTTTATTATTTCAAATATATGGAAAGTTACATGTGAAAATATGGAGAAAAGGTTGGTGTCAAAGCCATATCAGTATTTTATCTAAGGAAAAATGGATTTTCACAATATCATTGTTTTTCTACAATCATCTTGACTTTTAGGTCCTTGAACTTAAATGTGACTGTTGTTATGTGGTTATGGAATCAGTTGTTCTAGGTATCCTATTAAACATAGAATGTACTGTCATCTTGTTCTGGTGTGTAATGTAAAACATGAAATAATATGGATGCCCTCTGTCCCTGTGAGTAAAACTTTAGTTTCCTTTTTACTTGAGAAAAAATAAGGTTTCTAGAATGTGGATGCCATCAGGGATTATTTTCCATTTTAGGATATACTGAAGTGAAGTAAAAAAGGAAAATAATATTTATTGAGCATCTACTACATGCCTAGTACTTTCAAGTACCCATTTGAAGAAAGTTCCATTTTTTAAGACATTAAGACTTAGAAAGTTTTCGATAACTTGCCTGAAGTCACACAGCTAGATTCCAAATATATAGTTCTGTCTCCAAAAAGGAATGGTCTTTATATTACCTGAAGTTGTTATAATTAATTCTGACATGCCATACAAATCTAAAGTTTGAATCATGATAACATTTTATACATAACTTATTTTTCTTCAAAAAAACTATAATGTTAATAATAGTACATTTAAGAGCATAATTTATTCTGACAGAAATTATACTTATTCTAAATAATTTTTAAATGTTTTAAATGTTATTTCAATGAAGCTATGTGCCACTGAACTTGAAAAGCCTTTTGTATATACCAAATTTTATAAAGCCAGTAACTTTTGACTTTATAATATAACAATGATTATTGTTTCTTCATTTGTTGTGAGAGAAGCAGAGGCCATGGTGACCAAATTTCTCACTGTACTATTGCCAGAGAGCTGTATTTGCCAGACTCCTAAGCTCTATTTTTATGTAAAACCCCTTAAGATGTACTCTGAAGTGTGGAAACCACTTTTTCTATATTGGGTCTAAATGTACAGTTCATTTCATGAAATGATAAAAAGAAATAACAATTTTCATCACTTATATTGGGTTGTCAGAAAAGTCATGGCGTATTTTTTTCTGTTTTTCTTTGCAGAAATGCATTATGATTTTTCTGACAACCCAATAGTTTTGCTTTTGAATTGGAAATTGCAAGATTTTCCACAGGAATTACTTTGTTTAACAGAAATTGATTTATACTTCATCTGCTCTCAAAAAGAATTTGAGCTAACTTAAAAGTCTTCTATGCAGTAATATATACATAGAAATGTTTATTTATAATAGAAAATCAATGTCACAATGTCACATAGGAAGGAGGAGGAAGCAAATATTTCAGTCACCTAGGTTTATTTTGTATTGTAATTAGCATTAACTTGAGACTGAACTTTGTGGCAGCAAAGGCAAATAGAAAAATGGAATTAGTTACATAATTGTTTAATAAAAGGAAACTTAATAGCTTTTTAAATAATAATAATTCTTTCCTGAAACCAAACTTTTCCAGATAGTAAATTCTAAATAGAATTTGTCACATTGTGACATTAAACATCAAAAGGACAATGATGGAACTTTTGCTTGGATTATTGCATTAAATTAACTAGCTTCTTCTTCTATCTTCAGTCAGTCTATTCTGCATGCTATACTAGTTTGTCTTAGATCTTGAACTAGTGTTATATACCCTAATACTATTAAAATATGTTTCAATAAAGAAATATTTTGTTTAGTTTTTTTGGGGATCTCTGACTCAAGTATTCAAAAAAAATAGATTCTAACTTTCTTCTAAATATAAAATCTTTAGAATTGTATTTATTCCCTTCTTTCCTTTTAAGCACCACGGCAATAAATTCCTCTTTTCTAAGCATTTTAAGAATAAATGAATAGTATAGCTAATGTCAATTACAGTTAGTTAATATCCTCTGGTTCTTCCTTCTACTGCTGTAAGTAATCACCTTTCTCTGGATTACCTTCGCATATGCTACTATTGTGTGCTTGTCACATGGAGTTTTCACATAATTTACAACAAACTCCAACTTTCTTAAATGATCATTTTTGTTAGAGCCAAACCTGAGTTAAATATACATATGTACATATAATGTGAAATACTTGAAATAGTAACTTGACTTCCTCATTTGTAAAGTGAATATTTTAGTTACCTCTCAGAATTATAGGACAAATAAGTGAGAGAATCATGTAACATATTTAGTAAATAGTAAGTTCTCAATGAATTGTAGTATATTATGAGCACTATTATATGGAATTTTTACATTCTTAAAGCACAAGGGAGAATGGAAATAAAATCATTAACTAAAAACATATTTAGATTTTTTTTTAAATATAGGTGAAACTTTCATCAACGTCAAGGGTTTCACATTGTTAATTTGAAGAGACCTAGTAGTATTTAGTGAATACAAGAAAGATGATAACTGCCTCAATTTGTTTTGAGCAATAAATTATAAAATTCCATTGATTATAATAACCATCAATGTTATTTGCTTCAGGCTATTCAAAAGATCTAACAGTAGAAGTCAATAAAATTGAAACAATATGAAATATCGATTGCTGATACTAAATGCCAGAGAAATATCTAGTGCAGACCTTAAAGCAAAATTAGAGCAAGAGACAAAATATTTGAAGTTATTCCCCAAAGCATATTTGAAGTTTTCCCCCAAATTTAACATTTTTTAAAAAAGCATAATATATGGAAGAAAGAGCTAAACAATAAGGATATCATTTGGAAGATCTACACAGACACTTCCCCTTTAAAAATAATAATATTATTTAGTCATTCAACAAATACGCTTTTCAAAACTTATATGCTAGACACTGACCTAGGAGTTAGGGATAATGATGGGCTGCAATACAGACACTTTATATATTTATTATATGCTCCCTTGTGGGGCATATAATCTAATAATGAATGACTATTTGGAGATATAATTATTACTGATGAATACTCTATACATGTATATGTTATTTCCTTAATAATAATCATAGAGTCTTATATTGTCTCTAGATAGAAAGGCAACACTCTTCTTTCCTTCCCCTTTTCTACTCTCTTCCAGTGTTAAGAGCTGTATGCATGAGTGTGATCAACAAGATGTCTATGTGAGTACTGCCTTAGAGTATAAGTAAAGCTCATCTGTGAATGCCTCACTTCCCACCACACCATGCAACATGAGACTCCAGCAGATTCTAGGAATATCTTCTGAGAAAAATTTTGAATCTTGATAGACTTAAATGAAATACATGTTGCCTTAGATATAATACATAGGCCATCTAATTTTTGTTGTTGTTTTAGATGCAGACCTGTCTGATATGAAGTACAATGAACCTTATGACTATAAATTTGTAAAATGGATGATCAAAAATAAGGTAATGTTTATTCGCCTTTGCAATATTGTGCTGTATTTTATAGTTAATTTATGAAGGAAACTTGCTGACATGCTTTGAACAATGTTAACTTTAATTTTGTTATATGATAGTCCACTCGTGGCTATTTGGAGAATTTTAAAAACATTTTTCCTTTTGAAAATTATAGTGAATATTTAGAAGCACCTATTTGTTTCTAATGTTTATGTCCCTAACTTTAATATTTGAAGTATAAGTAGTTTTTATATTTCATTTTCTATTTATTTTTTAGAAACTGTCAGCCATCCCAGTTTCAGCATTCTGTAATACAGAAACCAAATTACAGTTTGAGAAGTTTGTGCGATTTTGCTTCATTAAAGTAAGTTCTCCACTCTACTGAAAAACACATTTATAATGTCCTCCCTTCTGGTTTATAAATCACCATTTTTTTTCTATTGCTAGACATGATGTGCTCATATTCAGGGGTTTTTTTGGTTTTTTTTAAAGATTTTTATTGGGGAATTGGGGGGATGGGAACAATGCTGGGGAATTGGGGGAAGGGGAACAGACAAGTTGTTGTCGTTTTGTTCTTCAGTCTAGTTGTGGAGGATGTTGCTTCACTGGCCCAAGTTGGCACCATCATTGCACTCTTCCTGGGGGAGGCATATCAGTCGCCGGCTTCTGGACGGCCGCTCACTGTGGCTGCTGGCTGCTCACGCTGGCTGCTGGCTACACACGGTAGCCCATGGCAACCCACTGCCACAGGGGCTGCAGCCTCTGCCGTTGCCGGCGACTCACAGCAGCCCAGCTCCAGGTTGAGCTGTTGTTCAGCATCTTAGCTGTAGAGGGCAGTGTCACTGGCCCTCATATGTGGGATCTGAACCGGGGCCCTCTGGCATCCCAAGCCAGTTCTTAACCATCGTGCCACTCGGCCGGCCCTCATATTCAGTTTTTAAATGTCAGCTTGCTGCCATGAAATTAACTGCTTACCAGAACAAGAATGTTGAGTTTACAACATAATCAGACTTCTTACCATGTAATGTTACAATGTCTAGCATGCAATAAAAATTATTAGACATGTCTTGTTAGGGAGAACACTTCACAGATGGTGTAGAGCCCTGAAAACCACACTGTACATCTGAAGCTGATGTTGAATAATATTGTATGTCAACTATAATTATATATACATATAGGCATGGGATGTGGAATAGAGGATGGGAATGGAGTCAATGGAAGTGTAACAGATAAGTATGATATCGGGGGTGGGAGGGCAGTGGATGGGGGAGGGACATTGTCACTTTGTGAGGGGTGAAAAGGATAACTATTGCATTGTTTTGTACACCTGAAACTAATAAAAAAAATTACTAGACATGTGAAAATACAAGCAATTGTGACCCTTAAAAAGAAAAAAAAGCAGTCAATACAAACAGATCTCCGGTGACCCATATGTAGAAATTAGCAGACAAGGACTTTAAAGCAGAAATTATAAGCATGTTCAGAAAGTTAAAGGAAAATATAGCCATAATGAGTAAACAGATTAAAACCAATTTTAAAAGAATCAAGTGGAAATTCAAAAACTTAAAGATGTAATATCTGATATGAAAAATGTATGGGGCTTAACATACAAAGGATTGAGGATGACAGGAAAAATACAGATATACTTGAATACAGAGCCACAGGAATTATCCAACCTGAAAAACAGGGAAAAATTATTTTTGAAAAAGTGAACAGAGCCTAAATCTATGGGACAATATCAAGTGATACTCTACATGTAATTGGAGAACCAAAAAAGAAGAGCGAATTTAGCAGGAAAACAATTTTAGGAAATAATGGCCAAAATTTTCCCAGATTTGGTGTAAAGCAACTTACGCATTTAAATTTCAGTCACCCACACCAGGGTATAAAGAAAACCACACCAAGACACATCATCATCAAACTGCTGAAAACTAAAGGTTTTAAAAGCAGCCAGAGAGAAATTACACCTCACATGTACAGGAGCAGATATGAGTGTTAGTGAGCTACTTCTTGTTATAAACAGTAGAAACCAGAATACAATGAAATGACATCTTCAAAGTGCTGCAATAAAAAATATATCAGCCCAGCATTTGGTCAAGATGGCAGAATAGGTAAACTCTGTTTACCTCCTCTCGTGACCATGTCAAAATTAGAACTAAACTACAGAAAAACCATCATTGAGAATCATCTGAAGTCTAGGGGAACTAAAGCCCTACAACTAAGGACATACAGAAGAAGCCACTCAAGACTTGTAGGATGGGCAGAGATGCAAAACAGGCTGGTCCTATACCTGCCAGTGACTATTAAAAATTAGGAGGGATAACTCAGCTGCGTTGGTTCCCCCCACAGGAGTGAGGGATCACAGCCCCACACCAGGCTTCCCATCCCAGGGTTTCAATGCTGGGGAGAGAAGTCCCCAGAACTTCTGGCTTTGAAAAACAGCAGAGATTGTGGTTCAGTGGGAGGGATGGCGGCTGCATTCACAAGTGTTCCTCTTAAAGGGCCCATGTACAGACTTACTCACTATTGAATTCACACACTCTGAGCTCCAGTGCTGGAGNATTCTCAGGATCTCTATTGTAAAATTAAATTACTGGCCTTGGGTTTGCAGGGAATCATTTTTTTCCCATTTTCTTTTTTTTCTTTTTACCTTTTGACCCCCTTCACCCATTTCTCCCACCCCCTAATCTCCCACCTCTGGCAACCACCAACCTGTGCCTTGTATATACAAGCTTGCAGGGTTTTTTGGTTTTGTTTCGTTTCTTAAGAGTCTATGAGAGAGATCATATAGTAGTTGCCTTTCTCTGTCTGACTTATTTCATAATGCCCTCGATGTCCATCCATGTTTGTCACAAATGGCAAAATTTCCTTCTTTTTAATGGCTGAATAATATTCTATTGTATTGGGTTGTCGGGAAAGCCATGACGTATTTTTCTATGTTTTTCAATGCAAAAATGCATCATGACTTTCCCAACAACCCAGCATATACATACCACAATTTCTTTATCCATTCATCCATTAATGGATACTTAAGTTGTTTCCATATCTTGGCTATTGTAAATAATGCTGCAATTAACATGGTGCATATATCTTTTCAAGTTAGTATTTTTTATTTCTTTGGATAAATGCCCAGAACTGAAAATGCTGAATTGTATGTTAGTTCTATTCTTAGTTTTTTAAGGCACTTCCATACTGTTTTCCATAATGACTGCACTCATTTGCAATCCCACCAACAGTGTACAAGCTGTCTTTTCTCCACATCCTCACCAGCACTTGTTATTTCTTGTTGTTTTTTATTTTTATCATAGCCATTCTAACAGGTGTGAAGTGATATCTCATTGTGATTTTGATTTGCGTTTCCATGATGATTAATTATGTTGAGCATCTTTTCATGTACCTGTTAAGCCATCTGTATGTTTTCTTTGAAAAAAAAAGTCTATTAAGATGTTCTGCCCATTTTGTAAACAAATTGTTTGGGTTTTTTTGATATTGAGTTGTATGAGTTCTTTATATATTTTTGATATTAGTCTTGTATCAGATATANCAAGTGTTCCTCTTAAAGGGCCCATGTACAGACTTACTCACTATTGAATTCACACACTCTGAGCTCCAGTGCTGGAGCAGCAGCTCAAAAAATGTCAGGGACATACGGGAAGGAACTGAATTGTCTGGCATCAGGGCAAGGGCTGGAGGGGCAGCTTTCTCCCAGATGGAAAAGTTGGTGAAAGCCATTGTTTATTTGTTGACTTGTCTCCCTCTTGGCATGCGAACACAGGCAGCTGCCATATCTGAGTCTTCATCAGTCTGGTTCACACCATTCATTTGCCCTGATTCCCGGAGATCCCACCCCACCCAAATTTTGAGCATACTCAAGCTGCTTCTAGTGGCTTGTCCGTGTAAATGACCAGCTGTGGCTCATGCTGTGAACTTTCCTAAAATCTCTCAAAGGTTCACAAAACCCAAACAAGCAGCATCTGGCTTTGGCATGTCCCATCCCTCTGGTTCAGCAGCCCTAAGACCAGCATTAGCAGCAGCCAGTTTCAGTTTGTGGCTTGGCCTTTTGAGGCACCTCCAAGCCCAGTGAGGGTGGCAACTATCTGCAGGTTGCTTTGTGGCTCTTGCCAGGTGGCCCTGGGCAGGGCACAGGCTGCAGCTGAATTTGGCCTGTGGCGGGGTCCCTCCCAGGTGGCCCTGGAGCTAGTACACTTGGTGGCCAGCTTTAGACCCAGCCAGAGCATCACCTGGCCACCTCTGGGAAAACACACCCAAAGGGCAGACTGGACAGGCACCAGAACCCTGCTAAAGCAAATCCTGGTCCATAGAGTCAGCCCTGCACAACAGCTCCTTCACTGTAGTCAACAGCCAGTTCTCAAAACCAATCAGCCCAAGCACCAATCCCTCCCACTGATGTGCCAACAGCAATCAAGGTTTAACTACAACAGGGGGGCACACACAACCCACAGAAAGAACACACCTGGAGTGCCCAGCTCAAGTGACCAGGAAGACTATGCTACTGAGCCCTACAGCACACCTACTATATAAGGCCACTCTACTAAGACCAGGAAACAAAGCAGCCCTACCTCATACATAGAAACAAACACAGGGAGGCAGCCAAAATGGGGAGACAATGAAACATGTCCAAAATAAAAGAACAGAACAAAACTCCAGAAAAAGAACTAAACAAAAGGGAGACAAAGCAATTGATCACATGCAGAATTCCAAACACTAGTAATAAGGATGCTCAATGATCTCAGGGAGAACTTCAACAAAGAGATAGGAAACATAAAAATGGAGATAGAAAACATAAAACACAACCAGTCAGAAATAGAAAAAAAACCCACAATAACTGAAATAAAGACTACATTAGAGGGAACCAACAGTAGATTAGATGAAGCAGAGGATCGAATCAGATTTAGAAGACAATGTAGCAAACAACACCCAAGCAGGACAGCAAAAAGAAAAGAGAATANTAGTGATTTTCTGACTTGCCAAAGATTGTTCCTAAAACTGCAGATATAACTGGCATGTCTCAGAGTCACTCCAGCCAGGCTCCTGAATCACCTGTGCTAAGGACTTCAGCTAATCAACTGTGGGACTGTGTCTGACCTCTGGAAGCCCAATCCCAGGATACAGAACTCAAAGCTGCACTTGGCTCCTGGCTCCAAGACACGTAGGTTCAATAGAGGAATGGTCTGAAAGCATCTTTAAGCCGTGTAGTGCTTACATACACATGCATATGCACACACACAAGCTTAGAATTGCATCTGTCTCCCTTTTGCCTGGCAAATAGATATTTTTAATCAGGGTCTGGTTTTCAGCCTAAAATTACATGGAGAGGGTGTCTCAGCCCTTGCTGCCCAAACA